TCCAGTCTGGGCGACAGAGGAAGACTCCGTCTCAAAACAAAAAAAAAAAAGCAGAGGCAGACAATGGACAGACCAACAACCAAGTGTCCTAACTCCCCGGCTGGTATCCCCTAGCGGAAGATAGAAGGTAAGTCCCCAGCTTCTCTCCTGGGAGAAGGTTGCAGTGTGACTTGGGTTAGCTGCCAAGGCTATGCTGCTTCCTGGCCAGGCCTGCTCCTGACTTGCTATGTGATCCCGCACAACACACTTTGCCTCTCTGGGCCACAGTTTCCTCATCTGTGAAATGCACCCACCGCAGCCCCCACTTCCTTGGGTTGTTGGGAGGGCGAGAGAGGCAAACGCAGGTCCAGCCTCCGCAAGCCCTGGCTGTGGTTGCTGAGAGATAGGCACAGATAAGGGGCAGATTGGCACAGGACAGGGAATCCTGACAGGCACGCACAAGGCATGAGACCTGGGAATCCCAACCACAGAGATGCTGTATTGCTGCAGCAGAGGCACCTCGTCAGTGCTGGGGCCCGTCTGCTCTTGGCCCGGGCGCCAGGGCAGTTTCTGGCACCCCTAGGAGAATGAATAGGGCTCAGTGTGGTGGCTCCGCTGAGCTCAGAGCCCCCTTTGTGCTGCCTGGAGTGGCCGTTAGGAGTGCAGCCGAGGACCTGCCGGCGGGTGGCTGTCCTGCGGGAGCTCTTCAGCTTGCCCTGCCCTGAACATCCCTGAGTGCTTTCCGACCTCCAGGCCTTTTGCTCAGGCTGGCCCCACCTGCCTCAGGCTTTTACCTCCTTGGGACCCCTCCAGGTTGGCTTGAGGCTATAGGGCCCTAGGATCCCTGAATTCATTTCTTTCTTTCTTTTTTTTTTTTTTGACAGTCTTAAAAAAACTACAGACAGAAACTTAAAAAAAAAAAAAAAAGCTCTGGCCGGGCGCGATGGCTCACGCCTGTAATCCCAGCACTTTGGGAGGCCGAGGCAGGCGGATCACGAGGTCAGGAAATCAAGACCATCCTGGCTAACACGGTGAAACCCTGTCTGTACTAAAATAAATACGAAAAAAATTAGCCGGGCATGGTGGCGGGCGCCTGTAGTCCCAGCTACTCGGGAGCCTGAGGCAGGAGAATGGCGTAAACCCGGGAGGCGGAGCTGGCCATGAACCCAGATCGCGCCACTGTACTCCAGCCTGAGGGACAGAGCGAGACTCCATCTCAATTAAAAAAAAAAAAGAAGCTCCAGGCTAGAGTTCAGTGGTGCGATCTTAGCACCGCAACCTCCGCCTTCTGGGTTTAAGGAATTCTCCTGCCTCAAGCTCCCTAGTAGCTGAGATTACAGGTGCGCCCCACCATGCCGGGCTAATTATTTATTTATTTATTTATTTATTAGTAGAGGTGGGGTTTCACTATGTTGGTCAGGCTGGTCTCGAACTCCTGACCTCAGGTGATCCTCCAGCCTCAGCCTCCCAAAGTGTTGGGATTACAGGCGTGAGCCGCGGCACCCAGCCCCCTGCTCTCACTTCTGTCCCCTCTCCTTGCCCCTCTTCCTCAGTCTGTGACTCAAGCAGGGTTAGTGTGGTGGGGGCCTATGGAGAGGACGGAGAAGAGAGGCTCACGGACAGGGCAGGTACCATGAAGAGTTGGAGACCTTAAACTTCATCATCAAAGGCATCAGACCCATGCAATTCTGGGTTCAATCCCCACCTCCATGACCTTGGACAAGTCATGTCACCTCTCTGAGCCTCTCTTTTTTTTCCTCATCAGTAAAACAGAATATAACATTCCTTACATGATCTCATGGCAGTGAAATAAAATATTTATACCAAGGGTATAATTTTGATTTAATTCCCTTGTGTCCTTATTTGCATATTCCAAACAGACCTGAAGCCTTCTGAGAGAGGCCAGGGCCCCTTCCATATGAGGACTGGATCATGCTTCCCCCTCAGCTGATCTGACACTGGGGACAGTCGCTGATCTGACACTGGGGACAGTGTGGGCTGATGGCAAATGACCCTGGGCTTTAAGAGTAGAGACCTGGCTTTGAATCCCAGCTTCATAGCTTCCTGGCTGTGGAGCCTGGGGCAGGCCACACCAATCTGGGCCTCAATTTCCCCTTTTGTAACTTGGGTCTAGTAATAGCAACCTCCTAATAGGGGTGATGGAGAGTTTCAGGGAGACAACATAAGTCAGCCTCAGGCCAGGCACTGAGTCAGTTCCTGGCTAGTGTGGGCAGAACTTCTGTGATCAATTGATTGATTGGAAACGGAGTTTTGCTCTTGTTGCCCCGGCTGGAGTGCAGTCGCCCAATCTCAGCTCACTGCAACTTCCCCGTCCTGGGCTCAAGTGATTCTCTTGCCTCTAGCCTCCTGGGTAGCTGGGATCACAGGCACCACCATGCCCGGTTAATTTTCTGTATTTTTATTAGAGACAGGGTTTTATCGTGTTGGCCGGGTTGGTCTTGAACTCTTGACCTCAGGTGATCCACCTGCCTCAGCCTCCCAAAGTGTAGGGATTACAGGCGTGAGCTACCATGCCTAGCCGATTTTTTTATTTTTCTTTTTTTTTGAGACGGAGTCTCGCTCTGTCACCCAGGCTGGAGTGTGGAGCGCAGTGGCGCGATCTTGGCTCACTGCAAGTTCCGCCTCCCAGGTTCATGCCATTCTCCTGCCTCAGCCTCCCGAGTAGCTGGGACTACAGGCATGTGCCACCACACCCGGCTAATTTTTTTTTGTATTTTTAGTAGAGACAGGGTGTCACTGTGTTAGCCAGGATGGTCTCGATCTCCTGACCTCGTGATCTGCCTGCCTCGGTCTCCCAAAGTGCTGGGATTACAGGCGTGAGCCACCGTGCCCAGCCTGATTTTTTTTTTTTTTTTTAATTTTTTTGAGATGGAGTCTTACTCTGATGCCCAGACTGGAGTGCAGTGGCACAATCCTGGCTCACTGCAACCCCCACCTCCCAAGTTCAAGTGATTCTCCTACCTCAGCCTCCTGAGTAGCTGGGATTACAGGTGCGTGCCATCACGCCCAGCTAATTTTCCTATTTTTAGTGGAGACAGGGTTTTACCATGTTGGCCAGGCTGGTCTCGAACTCCTGACCTCGGGTGATTCACCTGCCTCCTCCTCCAAAAGTGGTGGGATTACAGGTGTGAGCCTTTTGGAGGAGGAGGCAACTTCTGTGATTTTAGAGGGCTGTGGGTATCACATGGCTGTTCTCTGTCCTGTACCCCTGCTATGCAGTTGACCCACTGTCTCTTCAGATGCACCAGCAGCCAACAGCAGCCCATTCCATGACTCCATCTTCTCCTTCCCTCCCATGCTTCCCGTCTGTCTCTGCTCAGAGGAAAACAGGGGTCCAGGCTGTGGTCAGACAGCTGTCCAGCGCCTCCCTTTACTGTGCTGCCCTCACCTTCTCTGTTAAATGGCAGCAGGACCAGCAGCTCTCTCGGGGCAGACATCTGCCAAGGACTGGCCACATGCCCAGCCCAGCCTTGCCAGTTTAGCCGATCCCTGGGAAGCAGGAAACGTTTCCAGTGAGAAATCACTCGTTTCTTCTTACTTGTGCCTGGGTTTTGCCAGCTTGGTGATCTGGGGCCCCGGACCTGGGCAGCCTGGGTAGCCTTGTGACAGGCATCCGGTCTTTCCTGCCTCTCTTGCCTGCCTGCATCCTACAGTGGGGACTGAGGCCCTGAGGCCCCAAGGGGAAGTGACAGGCGGATGTTGGGGTTCAGACCAGGGATGGTGGGGTGTAGGTGACAACTCCACCGGAACTTCTGCTAGGGCCTCTGCCCACAGGATGTGACTTAGGGAGGGCTCATGGGAAACAGCAGGCCCTGGCTTGAGCTGTAGTCGGATAGTGGAGGCCACACAAACCCACCATAGATCCCCACCCACCGCGCTACTGCTCAGACCAATGGTGCCATGCCCCAGCAATGCTGTGGCTCCACCCCTAGGCCAGATGGGCAGGGCCCTGAGATGGGGAAGTGCTGGGGTTTGTGCCAGACTGACCTGGTTCAAATACCAGTATGGTCACTGACCAGCTGTTTGACCCAGGCCAAGTGATGTCACCTGTGAGTCTCAGGATCCTGAGGTGTACAATGGAGGTGACAACAGTACCCATATGGTTGAGTGGCAACCGAGATAATTCTCATAAAGTGGTAAGTAGGGCTGGGACCATTTATTTTCCATCAATAAATTGTCATTACTAAAATTTTTATGTTCTCCCTCCTTATCCTCCCCACCTCCAATTTATTTATTTATTTATTTATTTATTTATTTTTGAGACGGAGTCTCGCTCTGTCGCCCAGGCTGGAGTGCAGTGGTGCGATCTCGGCTCACTGCAAGCTCCGCCTTCCGGGTTCACGCCATTTTCCTACCTCAGCCTCCCGAGTAACTGGGACTACAGGCGCCCGCCACCTCGCCCGGCTAGTTTTTTGTATTTTTTAGTAGAGACGGGGTTTCACCGTATTAGCCAGGATGGTCTCAATCTCCTGACCTTGTGATCCGCCCGTCTCGGCCTCCCGAAGTGCTGGGATTACAGGCTTGAGCCACCACGCCCGGCTCCCACCTCCAATTTAGCTAACAGCCTCCTGCTTCTAATAGTGTACCCATGAACCTGACCCTACGTCTCTCCCTGCCTAAACCCCGCTCTGGTTCTACACTACTCTCAGGAGGAGAGGCTCCTTCCTCCTCAGCCTGACTTTCCAGCCCCTCCCTGGTAATGCCCTTCCCCAGAACAGGACCTCTTGTGACATCAAGGTTATCAAAGCCATTCCAGCCTCCTCCTAGGAGGCTCTGAGGCTAAGCAGTGTGGGGTGAGAGCTGGGAGCCACCCCGAGGGTTTTTTTTTGAGACGGAGTCTCACTCTGTCACCAGGCTGGAGTACAGTGGCAAGACCTCGGCTTACTGCAACCTCCACCTCCTGGGTTCAGGCGATTCTCTTGCTTCAGCCTCCTGAGTAGCTGGGACTACAGGCACCCAACACCACGCCCGGCTAAGTTTTGTATTTTTAGTAGAGATGGGGTTTCAACATATTGGCCAGGCTGGTCTCGAACTCCTGACCTTGTGATCTGCCTGCCTCGGCCTCCCAAAGTGCTGGGATTACAGGCGTGAGCCACCGCGCCCACCCTAAGGGCTTCTTGCAGGAAGAGAGGGTACCCAGAGTCTAGGGGAGTGTGGAATCAGGGGAAAACCGCCCTGAACGCAGGAAGGCTTAGGGAGACAGTAGAGAGATTTGCGTGGCCACAGCCTGGGAGGTGGGGTGTGAACTGGAAAGAGCTTCCAATGTCACATTCAGGTTCTTCGGGGACAGAGAGGCCAGACCGGGGGGCCAGGTCTCAGGATCCACCCGCAGAGGGCTGGAGAGGAGGGGGCAGATTGAAGCGGGGCAAAGGAGGCAGAAAAGACGGCTTTGCTGGAGGCTGTCCTTGGGCAGAGCTGGAGGGGGGATCTGGGGGCCGCTGGAGCCAGGAAGATGCAGGCGAAGGGATGGGCGCGATGGGGGAGGCAGATGGGGGGGTGAGTGGTGAGCTCCCGCCTGCATAAGGACAGCAGGCCTCCCCAATGCTCTCCTCCTGGCCCAACCACGGATAGCCTGAGTCAAGAGAATCCCCTTCACAGTCAGACACCCAGCTTCGGGTCCCAGCTTTGTCGCCGTGTGACCTTGGGCAAAGGACCTCACCTCTGAGCCTCAATGTCCTCTTCTGCAAAATGGGTTAGTGATCCTGACTATGGGGCTGTTGATTCAGGATTCGGCGGGAACGCCCAGCACTTCCTGAGCACACAAGAGTGCTGAGAAAATGGTAGCTGTTTTTTGCGATTATTGACCCGGGGCCTGATCAGCTCCGGCGCGACTCGGCGAAGGAGCGAGTCCTGCGGGTCCCATCCCTGCCTCCTGGAGAGCCAGGCTCCAGCGATAGAAGGCCCGGGCGTTGCTTGCTCGTCGCCTCCAGTGCCGCCGCGCCCCCTGGCGGCCGTCGGTTGCCATGTCAACGGAGGGTGGCGGGGACCGGGGGAGGCGGAGGCGGGGGCCGTTTTCTCCTCCCAGGGCCGGAGGACGCTCCCTCCGCGCCTCCCGCCTTCGCCTCCTGGAGAGCCAGGCTCCAGCGATAGAAGG